ATCCTGACCAGCGAGTTTTCACTTTGACCATCAACAATGTGACAACTGGGGACTCTGGTTATTTCCGGTGTGGTGTGGAGATCAGTGGAGCTTCAGATGATGGAGATCAGGTTTTCCTGTCAGTGACTGATGGTAAGATGTCTGTACAAATCACCTGATCACACTCTTTTCATGAATATATGTATAACAAGCGTAAATTATAAATTTTATTTTACAATCTGCAGTGACTATCAGGAATCTTTCTGATACGGAAAATATTTTTTTAATGGATTGACATCGGTAGTAATGTTGTTTAGCAGGACATTCTAAACAATCATTTCATTAGAGTTCTATTAAACTTACGCATGTAGAATAGGGTCTAAATGTATGGTTTGGTTAGGATGGTAAATGAGACCTGGGAGAAGTAACAGTGTCAGTTTAAATGGGCTACAGCAGGCGGTCAGGAATGATAAGTAATGTGTTAAGTAATATCATTTTATTAAGGGTTAAGTGGGTTTCAAGTATAAATGTAATGGAAAAGTGTAAATATAAAAAGCCTGTAAAAGAGCATAAACTTTGCTGTCAGTTACTGATGTTTGTATTATAAATATAAATGTATATACAGTAAGTCAAAACCAGAAATGGTCTTGGTATGCTAATTATGAAAGTAAATCATCAGTTAATGTTTTATTACAGTATTTTATTTTTTATAAATATAGTAACATTCAAAACAACATTCACCAAAACACATTTGAATATCCTATAAAGTAAAGTAGTGTAACCTACAGAGGACTGATACTGACTCTGTATTAATATGTGTATAAATGGTGTAAGAGGAAGTGAGAGTTAATCAGCCTGGTAATTTTCATACTGTCCTTGCAGGTGTGTCCACAGTGAAATGGATGCGTGTACAGAGAAGAGGATCTGTCACCATCCCATGTTTCTATGATGACAGATATAAAACTAATGTGAAATACTGGTGCAGAGGGAAAAAAAGGAAGTCATGTACTCCCATAGTACACAGTGACTCTCCACAGGAGGGTAAAGTGTCAGTCAGAGATGATCCTGACCAGCGAGTCTTCACTGTGACCATCAACAATTTCACAGATGGGGACTCTGGTTACTACTGGTGTTGTGTGAAGATCAATGGAGCCTCAGATCCTGGAGATCAGGTTTCCCTCTCAGTCACTGATGGTGAGATGTTTGTACTGCAGACTGTAGCCAATGAGTTGCACAGTATGTAACATGTCATTCAGCCAGAAAGGAAGGACACAAACACAAACACTGGAGGAATAAATATTTTAGCATTTGATGACCTAATTTACAATAACAAATACCAAATCTTAGTTTTGCACAGTAACATAAATGTGACCTGGGAGATGTAACAGCCTCCGTTTAAATGGGCTGCTTTAGGGGTGTCACGCCCTGCTCCGTCCGCTCCTAGTGTGTGCCACGCCCCCTCATTATCCACGTGTGCTTTCCTGATTGTGCCCAGCTGTTTCCTGTTTCGTTTGCCTAGTCTTGTGTATTTAGTCCGTGTCTTAGTCGATGTACCCCAGACTGGTCATTGTATTGTCATGTGTAGTGTCCGTACCTGTACGTCTGCCTCCGAATAAACCCCGTTACCCTGACTGCCTGGCTTCGCTCGCCTGCTTCCTGCTCGCCCTCCCCGCGAAGCGTGACAAGGGGATAAATAACATTAGTAATAAAAAGTACTAATAAAAAGTATGGATAAATATTAAAATAAGCATGTTGTAACCGGGTCGTATGCATGAATATTTTACAGCTGTATAAATAACAGTGTTTCATTTGTCCCTAATTTACATGTTCAGCTTCCTCAAGGCTGTCAGTGGACAAACAGGAGGTGACGGGTGTGGAAGGAGACAGTGTCAGTGTTCAGTGTCGCTATGGATACAGTGTAAATAAGAAGCTGTGGTGTAAGATCGGGGGCTCCTGTGTGTCAGAGAGATCTGGGAGCTGGGATCTGGATGGGAGGCCTGTCCTGATCAGGGATGACACAGTAAATAGAGTCTTCATTGTGAAAATAAGGGCACTGGAGAGGAAGGACACTGGCTGGTACTGGTGTGATGCTGGAGGCTTGCAGATCCCAGTTCATATTACTGTCAAACCAATAATCATCACTGAATGTAAGTAATTAATATAAATCTGGCTGTGAATAATTTGTGCTTCAGTACAAATAGCCAAACAACAAATGAGGCAGTTTCACCCATGAAGGGGGTCTGTGCGTTTTATAGTGATAATCTGTGGGGGGGCTGTGTGTCTTTAAAGTCCCCTATTGATAACTTTTGCTGAACAGAGATATTTATTGGGATTATAGGTTCTGTGCTAGTGGTACAGTGGCCCAGTAGGTGGCGCTGTTGCTTCACACCTCCATGTTTAGGGGTATGAATCTGGCTTCTGCTCTGTCTGTGTGGAGTTTGCATGTTCTCCACGTGCTGTGTGGGTTTCCTCCCACAGTCCAAAGACATGCAGTCAGGCTAATTGGTGTCTCTAATAGAGAGTGTGTGTCTATGTGCCCTGTGACTGACTGGCATCCCGTCCAGGATGTACTCCATCCCTGTGCCCTGTCCTGCCTGGGATCGGCTCCAGGCCCCGCATCCCTGACCAGGATGAGGGGTTAGAAGATAGATGGGTGGATGGCTGTAGTTAAATGTGTCTGTATGAATGTACTGAAAGATTAATGTTAAATGGCAGCATTATCTCTATGGGAGACATCCCATAATACAGTTGTGATGACCTGCACCAAAGAGGAATTCCTTGCACACTTGGTATTTGGCAAACAATAAAGATTCTGATTCAGATTTAACTATATATACATGCAACTATTTTCTTATTAATTTCCTGGCCAATACATTGTATATAATCTAATCCTGCTGTTAGTATGTAATTCATTCCTGCCCAGATCCCAGACACAAAGTTGGAGGCAGAATTCCATGCTATCAGGTCCTGCTCTGTACCAAATACACGTGTCTGATCTGTTTGTTACACCTGGAGCTGTACTGAGCCCTCAGGAATCAGCAGCTTCTAGGTCAGGATGTGTCTGTATAATGAGACACATTTCACAGGATGTTGCCGCAGACAAACATTCGTTTCCGTATTACAGCCATTTGTTATGTATATAAATCCAAATACAAAATTGTTACAGAAGGTGTGCAGACTGGCTGATGTGTCTGTAGGTGGTTTCAAATTGCAGCAGAGGCCAGTGTTACAGTTATACTCTGTAATAACTGATCCAGTGCTGCAATAAGTACATTATGATACATTAATAAAATAACTAATATCATCAAATCGCTGCCAGTTCCCTGGGATATTAACACTTTAATCATAACACCAATTTATTATTCTGCATCCAGCCAGCTGATCTATGGAATATTATTTATTCTTATATCAGTTTTAAAATGGCCTTTTCTTAAGAGTCTTTAGTGACTTACAGAACAGGGTTTTATCAGTAAATTAAGAATCCTTTATCCTGTTTCTCTCAGCACATGATGAAGATGGAGGGAATAATGATAAACTGAGGTAAGCATTCAGCAGCATTTACAGGAGTGTGGGGGTCCAGCTAGCAGCATTTACCGGGTCACACAGTGATGGGAAACTGCCATTATATTTACGAGAATTAGGATATTGCTTTTTATTGTTTTTCTTAATTATAATAAACTTAAGATGCCATCCCATCCAGGCTGAGCCCCTGCCTTGTGCCCTGTGCTGCTGGGGATAGACTGCAGGCCTGTTTAGAAGATGGATGGATGGATGGATTTTACAAAAGAGTATAACATGTTGTGTGAAAATCTTGAGCTGTTTTCATGCTACTTGTTAATGTCTCCTCTTCCTCATATGTATCCTGTGTAATGGTACAGATGTGGCTGTACTGTGTTGCTATAAACCATATAAGACTTTACTGTTCAAATTCACCCTCTTATTGTTCCAGATTGTTTCTGTATGTAGGACTGGGCTTATTGGTGCTGCTGTTGATCATCATCATCATCACATGGAAAGTGTGGGACAGACACAGTGAGTATCTGCTGATGCAGACAGTGAATAAGTGACCTGAGTCTTTGATCACATGTTTTAGTCTATTTTGTTTTGCTTTAAAGTGGTATCACAACATGCTGACTTATTTAGGAGCCCCTTCCCCCCACTCTGTATCTGACAGGACCCCCCCCCCTCTCAGACTCTGATTTAGCCCCTGGATATATGTACATGCTAATTCAGAGACTATTTGTTTGTTACACAGTAAATTATTGTCACTTAAGAGCAGAGACCCTGGTGGGAGCAGAATGACTTTCTGTGGCTTTTTTTCCTCATTTTTTTTCTTGTAGACAAAAAAACAACGAGTCAAAATCAGGGAAACACAGAATTGACAGTAAGTTCATATTTAATACAGAAAGAACAGAACAGCGTCTCTTAACCCGCTGGTCTCTACAAGCTTTGAAAGAGTCGTGAGCTCCAGTTGGAAAGTAGTCATTACTTATTTAAAATCAGAAACTGACACATTTTTTCAATCTGTAGTTCGCATGATGTTGAATTTGAGAGGACACTGAAAAAGTTACTTTGAATGAACTCAGTTGAATCAGGGACAGTGGTTCCCTACAATTAGAATGAATATTCTGAAAATGAAACTTTGTATTTAAGTTGTGATGCATTCACTTTGTGTTCTAAGAACATAGTACAGTTGAGTTAATCTCACCAAATTTTCTCATGCCTAATTAAACCAACTGAATTGGTTGCTAGATAATAACCTTCTTATTTATGTTTATGGTTCAACCTGTTTTACAGGCTACACTGAATAAATTACTTACATTGAAACAACTTCAAATATTTCATGTGATCCATTACTTCTAATATTGAAAATAAGGGCACTGGTTGATTAAACTTTTTCAGCATTTTATTTTTTTCAGTGTACTGTACAGGTGTTATGCCACTGATTATATACCTAATTTAAGTTGAATGGAAGTGATTCAGTTGGTTTGATTAGACATGAGAAAATTTAGTGAGATTAACTGAACTATATTCTGTTTTCAGGACACAAAGTGAATGCATGAACTTAAAAAGAATGTTTAATTTTCAGAATACTCATTCTAGTTATTGTGGAACTAATATGCATGATTCAATAGCATTTATTCAAAGATTTATATATAACAAATAATTCATTTACATTGCATCAACATGATTATTTAAGTAATACCAGCAAGTAAGATGAATCCTTTATTTTAGTGATTGTTTTCCTACTTTACTGTATAGGGTCATGACTGAGCTGGCAGGTGAAAAATTAGGGCGAGATGCAAAATAGTTGAGAATCACTGGTCTAGAAGATTCTGCAGAGTTACGTCTTTTATAAGAGAACATAAACAGAAATTAAACTGTGTTAACAGCCACTTACTCGTTAAAAAGTTAATTTTTGTAGAGTAATATGATGTGAAACTGACTTGAGGAGTGATTGTTTGAACGCTGAGCTGTGACTTTGTTCTAGCTGAACCCAGACCCTGAATATGCAGCAATAGGCAACATCAAGAGAGACCCCCCAGGGCAGGTAAAGTGCAGGAATAAAATATATACAGCGAGGATTTTGAGAGCAGTCTGTGTATCTATATGTAAAAAAAATTATAATATTTTATGTAACATATATTAAGCCAGTTGTTACACTGTGGTTAAAGAGTTTTCTAAATGGAAATAAAAATTAATTCATATTGTACAATATCAGTAAAGATACAAATCATTAACTAATACGTCAGATTATCATCAAATTCAGCAACAATGACGTTCCATTGCTGTCAGTTAAAGAATGGACAGGTGGTTCTGTATAGATACATGGTCATAATGTGATCCTCTCTCAGGCCTCTGAGGAGCCTGGTGCTGATGTCACCTACAGCTCCATTGTCCTGTCAGACCCAGAGGTAAGATGGTTTCATGTAAATCAGTGTTTGGTTCAGGCATAGGACCAGTATCACAATAAGAGTGACACGTATATCAATAATGTACTGACTGGGCAGGAACATCTACACCTCAGCTGATCTCTCAGATCCATGTGTATCAGAATTAGCTGTAATGTACCAAGAAGTACCATGATACCCTGATATTTCACAGTGATTCACATGGGAGGTTTGGGAGTTTATGGATTTGTGGTCTCTGTACAAAGGTTGGTCTTGTACCTCCACTGTAAGCAGCTAAATGCTCTCAGCAGGTGTCCTCTAGATGTTCTTCACACCGACCTGCTGTAACCCCAGCCAGCGATGTGGTCTACAGCTCAGTCGCCCTGAAGCACAGAGAGGTGAGTTTGGACAATCTGCTCTAACATGAGCTGTGATACATTTAGTGTCTGATGCTACATACATGTCATATGTTTCATTTGACAACATATACAGCCACAATTGCAACATCATACATGCAGCTCATTTGACTTGAAATTTTAAGCCAGATGAAAGTGAACTAAAAAGATTTTCCTAATTAATCTATCGTTCATTTCCTGTTCCTGTAGCAGTAACATTAACACACCAAACTCCCTGAAATGCTAAGGAAGGCGTTAATACCTCAGTAACCAAACTGATGTTAATGTTTATCTGTTCCTTGTCCAGTAGGGGGCAGCAATTACACAGACAGGCTCCTCTACATGTGGGGAGCTGCTGCTCAGGATGAGAGCTGTGAGGGACACACAGATACTCCAGTGATGGGGATGGTTAAATAGATGCAAGTGTACGACATTATCTTGGCAGTGTGTGAACTGTCCGTTTTCTTTTATATTAATGGAAAAACAAAAATCATTAGCAATTCTAGTTGATTGTTATAATATAGTTCACAGAAATACAGTATTCTGAGAAAGTGTTAGCCAGTGTCTTGTGTATATACAGTTTATGTAGAGGTGAGGGGTTAATGAGGTCTAAGCGCTTTGCTGCCCCCTGCTGGAGCCATTTCACTGTTTACTATAGATCAGGAGTGCCCAACTCCAGTCCTAAAGGGCCAGAGCCCTGCACATTCTTAGGTTTCCCCTCAATTAACACACCTGATTCAACTCATTGTGCTACTTACCACGCAGCTCTTGAGCTGAATCATTTATGATGGAACAGGGAAAAAACTAAGCTACACAGGGCTCCGGCCCTCCAGGACTGGAGTTGGGCACCCCTGCTATAGACAGTGGAATTAAAAGCTGCCCTATTACCATTATATCATATTTCAGTATAAAAGCTTTAGGTTATTTCCACAGAATGTTAGGCTTTTGTTTACTGATAAATGGAGTATTATTGAAAATGCAGACCACAGACTGTGTGACTCATCATACACAATGTTAATAAAAATGCTTTTCATTCCTCCTGCATGCTGCAATGGTGTCTCAGTGTCTAATATGGATGTCTCACACTGTCAGGGGTTTGGGTTTGAATCCTGCCCCTGGCTCTCAGTGTGTAACATGGACGCCTCATACTGTCAGGGGTTTGGGTTTGAATCCTGCTCCTGGCTCTCAGTGTGGTGTTTGTGTCCCTGATTTGGGTCCTGTGCTTCCTGGGATCTGACTCCATCCTGGGTAATATAGTGAAAGATAGATGGATGACTTTTAAACATTTAAAACCCATAATAGGGAGGCAGTGAAGTTATGGAGAGTCAGGAAGTGAGTGTCAGTCTCCACAGATCTGAGGTCAGTGAGACACACATAAGGCTCCTCTGATGCTCCTCTTCATCCTCTTCTTGACTGATGGGCCTCCAGGTGAGGATCACTTACTCTGGGACAGACTCTCACTCTCTCTTACTCCACCATGCAGCATATTTAGATAGAAAGATAGACAGACAGAAAGGAAATGAAACATGAGCTTTTATGTTTTTCTATATTTATATTCTTAATGACGCCTGATGCCAAATCAAATCATTGTAATATTCAATAATCACACAGAATCTGTATAAGAACATCTACGGCAGGGGTATTCAACTAAAATTTAAAGAGGTCTAGTTAGAGAAAAATTCTTGAAGCAAAGGTCCGGAAGATCACAATGTCTAACTATTTAATAGTGTGATATATATTTAATTAGCCTATTAGTTGCATCAACATTGTATGTAATCAGTACCTGACTGTCAAATAAAATTAATTCAGTACAATTCAAAAACGTTTTGACATTATTTATTGTCACGTGACATAGGACTTCGGCCACTTGGCTGGAGTGAGATTTTCAATTTGAGATGTCTGCACACATGTAGCAGTTCTTACCTTGTAAATAGTCTGCTTTTGTATTTAACCTTGTAAATATACTTTTGACGTAGCTAATTTTAAGTTTTATAATGGAATAGTATAGATTTGCCGTAAGATTTCCAGCATGATTCTGAAAGCGTGAGTGTCATGCCAGATGCTTGAGATTTGGCAACCCTGAAAATGTACATTTTTTGTTTCACATGAGTTTATTTATATAACAGATAACATTACTTTATACTAGAGTTGGATGTCTCAAGACTGGTCTTGGTCTTGTCACATTCTCGACGGTATATGGTCTTGGTCTTGTCTTCGTCTCGGATCCCTTGGTCTTGTCTTGGTCTCGCTGTCTTGGTCTTGCTGTCTCAGATCGACATAGTGGAGATTTGGAGTGAAAAGTATTCGACACACAACGCAACATTATTATTATTTCGCCTTTCACGCCCTTCAAATGCAACCAATCAATGACATACGTGCATTTTGCTGTGATTCAGACATTGGCGCTCATCCAATCAAAATACGCGTTATACGCGCAAAATAAGTGTTGCGCTAGTTAAACGTCAGTTAAATGTAGGGCTGCACGATTTGGGGAAAATATCGAATCGCTATTTTTCTGACAGAATTTGCGATTACAAATTTGCGATTTAATTTTTTTATGTCAAGCTTCAGTTCAATATTCAGTGTGTATAGTAATTTTAAAGCATGACGCAGCATGAGATACCATCGATCAGTATATTAACTGGTCTATGTTCTAATGCAAGGATGAGAATTTAAATATGTGATGTGTCAAGTTAAATAAAGTAATAATGAAAACAATTATAATCATAATATTAATATATTATAATAATTATATTATACTTATTGTTATAATAAAAATAGCGATCTTTGAAACAACGCGAAATCGAAATTTGAAATCGATAAATCGTCCAGCCCTACTTAGATGTGTAATCACATGTCACTGCGGACATCAAGATATCAGAATCTTTTAAGTACTTGTCCTCATTCTTATGAATGCACATTTTGATGTGCCGTTTGTACTGGTATATAGTATTTGTAGTTTGCATTTGATTCATGTGACGTGTGCGCATGTCTTTATATTATTTGATTACAGTATTTTACTTAAAATGGTGTTCTACTAAATAAATGTGACCATTGACTTTTAAATAACATCTGCATATCACGTTGTGTTGACTTAACAGGCCTAATCCATTTCAGGGACGTTGATATCATACAGTGTCATTTGGCTAGTACAGTACTACTACAATGGGACATGATGCAATTTCAAGTTTATAATTGTGTATCTTCAATATGATGTTACAATTAAGTATAATTGAAATCAGTTACATATTTCCCATCCTTTAGACAGTTGTTGGAGGTGTTAGCTGTTTTGTCAGATAACTTTGGGACCAGTCAGTACCCGTCATGTCAGTCCTCAACAGCACACAAAAGTTAAGGGAGTCTTTTTCTTCGGTCTCGGTCTTGGTCTCGCCTCGACTTTGTCTTGTTCTTGACTCGGTCTGTCTTGGTCTTTGTCTTGGTCTTGTCTTGGTCTCGATACCCTCTGGTCTTGGTAGTGTCTTGGTCTTGGTTTAGGCAGTCTTGACTACAAGTCTACATCATAGGTGCTTCTGTCAGGCCGTTGCTGCACCCTGGTGCTCCCAGAGGCTCCACAGCTACTCCATACCTGAGCTCCACTCATACCTCCAGCTTCTGGGAAGCTGGAACCTCAAGTCCCTGGTCTCAGAAACTATGGTGCTTCCATTTTGTCAAACTTAACAGGGAAAATGTACATGTCTGTTTTCGGCACATCAACAGTCAAGAGAACCACAGGCATCCTGAAGATATGAGCCAATCAAAAGTGGATGGGATGGACATCAGCTCCGTTACAATGGCATACAAATAAGAAACGTGCGTACATACAAAAAAATTCAGATGCACAGAACCGTGCATAAGCAAAGTTCTATGCAATTTCCCTTTGTAAATAAATTAAACGCACAAGCAAGAACCTACAGCCCCTCCCTGACTCCTCACAGAATTATACTTAATAGAATATGCAAATCAATATAAATAGCCCAGTATTTTGTCAAAAGACAATGGCAAAAGCGCAGGGAAAAAAAGAAGAATTTCAGCGAATGCAAAATGGAGGTCCTGCTCAGTGAAGTAGTGGCCAGGAACAATAGACTGTTTGGTGGCTAAAGCAGTGGCATAAGCAACAAACGAGAACTGGTGGAGAGACGCAGTGTGACGGAGGCACAAGCTCAGAAAGGCGCACTGTGCCCGAGATTAAAAAGAAGTGGTCAGATATTAAAGTGGACACGACGTGGAGAGTCACAGCCCATTATCTGAGTGTCAGCACCACTGGAGGAGGGAGCAGCATTCCGGGGCTCACACCGTTTGAGCAGCGACTCACTGCAGTTATTGGGGAGATGCTTATAACTGGGATTTTGCCTGAGTGGGGCTCTGACATCACTGCGGGTGAAGGTGAGAGTTTTTATTTTTTTCCGCTTATCATTATCCATACTCGTTTAAATAAGCTGCATGTTTAGTAAGACTAACAAGCAGGTAACAGATACGATGTTACTTTTCATTCTGTTTCAGATAATATTCCAAAAGGCGACCCCCCTGGGACGCGACTCCAGGCGGTGATGGTGCTGCTGTGCCGACCTCATCCTCGGGTGCTGGCTGCACTCACTCCGACCATCTGGCCGTGTGCTGACAGTCACTGCCCAGATCAGCACAGCCCAGATGATCATCAGCTGCCCACCGCCCTCTCTGGGACAGTGTTATTCAGCCCTCACTGCCTCAGCAGAGCAGCCAACATATGGAAGGACCCATCCCACCCTGGACATCATCTGTTCGACCCACTGCTCCTGGTAGACTTTTTGGGTCTATTACATCACGGACAAACAGACTTAACAACAGCTTTTACGCCAGAGCCATACAAGAACTGTGTCAGGGTCAGCCGCTGCTGTGGTCCTTCCGTGTTCCCTTCCCCGTTTGACCAGCAGGCGTTGCTGGTCATCCCGTCCTTCATGTTAGTCTTTGTTCGCCCAGGTTACCTGTCTGGTCATGTGGTTCTATGTGTTGAGCATGTGGTTGTCTGTGTACCCTTCTGCCCTAAGTACCCTTCTGTCCTGTGTTCAAATCCCACCTCCTCTGTTTTTGTATTTTGCTCCCTAGTGTTTCAGTTGAGTTTGACTAGTTATTGTATTTGGTGATTTTGTATATGGTTTTTGGTTTTGTTCCTTGTGCCCCTGCTTGTGTCTTTACCTGTTTAATTCCCTAGTGTTGGTTTCTGTTTCCCTGTGTTCTTGGTTAGTTCTTAGTTTCCCTGTTTTTTAGTTCCTTTGAGTTTATTAGTTTCACCTGTGCCCTGTTTCCCTGGTCTTTGTTAATTAGTCTCACCTGTCCTGTGTTAGTCTCGTTACCCCTTTAGTATTTTAGTTCCTGCTTCTGTTCAGTTCCCAAGTGGTTCATTGTCTATGATTGTCTATGAGTGTGTTATTGCTTGTCTTGGTTAGTTTGGTTAGATCTGTGTCCTGTTTTTTCCTTCCTAGTTTTTGTTTTGTGATATTAAGTCTTTAATTGTCACCTTTAGTTTTGACCCCTCATGGTCCTTTTGGTTTCATTGTGTTTATAGTGTTTTCTGTTTTATTTGAATAAATCCCCATCTGTCTCTGAGCCGCAAGTGGGACGTCCGCCCCTTTTTGTGCCTGCACTATGCCTCGTTCCCGCACCCGAGCCGCCCGGATCCCTGACAAACTGAGCACTGCCAAACAATGACAGTGCCTGCTGTCGGACCTGTGTGCCCAACTACCCCAGAACACTTAGAATTGTGTCTACAGAAGGCTGCACTGACTTTCACTTTCATATTTATTTCTATGTTTATATTTCATTTGCACTTCTGTACATATATATCTCCTATTACACTAACAGCATCCCAGGCCCCAGTGTGCAATATCTCAGCTGCCATTTAGACTACAACAATATACATTCTATTTATATACACAACCACACAAGTATACTTGCACATTTTATATCTGCATAATATATTCTTTGTAGCACTTAAAATTAGTTTAATTTGTAGCTTTACTCATTTTTTATTTTTCTGTTTTTATGTGTGAAGGTACTGTAAGGTCTGCTTCTCAATTTTGTTGTACTCTGTTGTAATGACAATAAAGGAATCATGATTGATCTTTATCTTTCCTACATAACATTGCTGCATAGTGGACACAAATAAGATTGCAGTCAATTCTAAAATCAGTCAGTCATCCACAAGTAACCTCAGTACGCTGCACACATGAAGTGACAAAATCGACACATGTCATCCGTCATTCTGCATAAATGCTTATCTGGTTCTGCAATACTGAGAGAATATGATTTGACAACAGGGATCATCCATCCATCTTCCAGCTGCTAATACTGGTCAGGTTGGTGGGCATCAAGGATCGATTAGAATAAAAATATACAGATGCAGGAAGTTTTACGTATTACCCAAAATTTACTGAAATGTGTCAGTTATCTGTCTCTTCATATTAACTACAGTGAAATGTGGAGTGAGAGAGAGTGAGAGTCTGTCCCAGAGTAAGTGATCCTCAACCGGAGGCCAATCAGTGAAGAAGAGGATGAAGAGGAGCATCAGAGGAGCCTTATATGTGTCTCACTGACCTCAGATCTGTGGAGACTGACACTCACTTCCTGACTCTCCATAACTTCACTGCCTCCCTATTATGGGTTTGAAATGTTTAAAAGTCATCCATCTATCTTTCACTATATTACCCAGGATGGAGTCAGATCCCAGAAAGCACAGGACCCAAATACCACACTGAGAGCCAGGAGCAGGATTCAAACCCAAACCCCTGCCAGTATGAGGCGTCCATGTTACCACTGCAGCATGCAGGAGTAATGAAAAGCATTTTTATTACAGTTTTTCTGAATTGCTAAAACACTAAATCCCATTGTAAAAACTAAACTATCAACTACCAAAACTCTTTCATCAAATCAATTCCACAGTTGTCAAAATCTTAAACACTATTCACTTGGTTAGGACACAATTTGCAAATCTGAATCTCCCATTTACCAAAACTCTAACCACATTCTCAAACACAAAACACATTTAGCAGTGTGGTG